CATGTCATAACTTCATAAGAGTTTATATTTAAAATTCCTCAATGTATCACTGGCTTAATTTTCAAAAAAAAAAAGAAAAAAAAACATCATGTTTCTTTTAGATTGCATTTTTACTGTCTCCCACAGGTTTATCACCTGACTTGCAGTCCATGGAACAAATCCGACGAATAATGAGACCAACAGACGTACCAGACACAGGTTTACTGTGTGATCTCTTATGGTCTGATCCAGATAAAGACGTCCAAGGGTGGGGGGAGAATGACCGAGGAGTATCTTTCACATTTGGGGGAGATGTTGTCAGCAAATTTCTCAACAGACATGATCTTGATTTGATCTGCAGGGCACATCAGGTAAGAGGAATATAAAACTGGGACAGTACTCAAAAGTGACATTTTTTTCTAGTACAGTTAACATTTTTGAAGTTTCTTTTTTTACACATTAAGCAATTAAGCAGTATGAAAATTTTTCTTTTATTATTCCGTAGTTGTAAATAGTAGTTATGTATAAGGATGAAGTGTTTCTATAAACATTTGTTTTATTCTGCATTGCCCATAAGATGATATTAGATTGTCAGTCATTGTGTCATTAATTATTAAATCTAAAAAAAATTAATTCACCTTTTCAATTTGCATTAAAAAAACAAAATGTTTTATATAATATCAGCAATTTTTAAGATACCTGTTTCCTTAACTCACCCTTAGTTTTTGCATTTTATCCCTTGACATTTTAACACAGACATTATATTTATATCACAGGTTGTTGAAGATGGATATGAATTTTTTGCCAAGAGACAGCTGGTGACCCTGTTTTCAGCCCCCAACTACTGTGGGGAGTTTGACAATGCAGGAGGAATGATGTCTGTAGATGAAACACTCATGTGCTCCTTCCAGGTATGTATTAGGTATGAGAATGCGAGTTTGCTTTAAGAGATTGTGTTGGGTGTGACAGTACAAGTGTGTTAATATTTGGTAGGATTGTTTTAGGGGTGATAATGACAGTGCCTGATAAGATTGTGTTAGAATTTTGAAGTTTTGACCATAATGATTTACTATGAGAACTGTTTTCTTCTTTAAATAAAATACTTGCATCTTTCAAGTTTGAAAAAAAAAAAAAATAGAAAAGAAAGCACTTGCTTGAGGTCTCCACATTTTTTATTCTAAACTCCAAATTTTACTTTTGTACCAGATATTGAAACCTTCAGAGAAGAAGGCCAAGTACCAGTATGGAGGGTTAAACTCAGGACGACCTGTCACGCCACCTAGAGGTGCCACACAACCCAAGAAGAAATAGACTTTGAACTCTGTTACCTTGAACATTTACACTAGCTGACTGCACAAACATTGTGCAGTGCCCAGAAATTATATTGATGGGCCATAGGATTGGGACATTACTCCCGATCTATACATCTTCAGATCTTGACCTTTATATCTATATGAATACATATACATATATATCATCTGATATATAGCCAGTCGTTTTTTATGCAAGACCACTGTGGCGTTGGAGAGGAATTTTTCATGTGTTATTTGAAGTAGCAGGCAATGTGCTGCATTAATCTGTGGAATTGCTTGTACCACTTGGCATGGTGGTGTTATGTTTAGTGAATGGCGACCTTTTGCTCATTCTAGCATGGAAGAACTTTACAAAAGAAAATAAGGTGTTACATTTTTCTTTTACAAGTTGGTCTCTGAAATGGTTGTATTTTTTTTTTTAGTTCATTAGTATTGTCATAAAGATATGCTGGTGTACACCAGGTTAGGAGTAAGTGTGATGGTGATTGTCACAATTAATGTGGTATTTGTTAAAAGAGGAAAATGAAGTGTGTTAGATGTGACAGTGATCACAACCAAAATGTCACAATTTTTCAAGATGATATTGTTTTGTTGCATATTGTAAATTTTTTTATGATAACCATGACAACATTCTCACCACTTGGATTACACTTTTTTTTCCCGTTTTTGGACACTTTTGTTGTACAAATTGATATTCAGATCTTTCTAGCTTAAATAAGTTTCCAAGTTGTACTTTAGATGATAATCCTAAAGCATACCTCTGGGTCTTTTAAAAGTAAAAAAAAATTATGTCTTTGACAAAGAAATGAGAAGAGAATATTACTTCCTTGTATTTTGTTATGCCCATTGTGCCGGGGCAGCTAGCCAGCACCTTCTCATATGTCAAAATATCTCCACAGTCATCCAGTTTAATGTTAATAATACAATTCAGTTGCTTCCTAGTTAAAAATTCTGTGATAAGGATGGCACATTAACTTTACCTGTTAATAGAAAACACACGCTTTTTGACATTTTTTTCATTTGTAGCATCAGCTTTTCATTGAAATGTTTATGAAGGCAAGTGGGTTTCAGTTTCCTTAAATTCACAACAATAAGTCACATTAACATCTCCCCCTCGTTTCGTTTCTCCCACCCCTTTTATGTTCATTTCAGCTCATCATTTGCAGTTAGCTATCATTTTCATCCTGTAGATTTATAATAATTTATTTCTGTTTTGTAACAAACGTGTTCTTTTTAGTTGGATCAGTTAAATGTGTTAAAATAGTATGCATGCATTGTCACTCATATGTTGGACATAGAAATAGAGATAAAACTGTACACTGCAAAGACATTATCTCTTAAATATCCTTTTGATATCATTGATTACAAAACTTAGCCATCAGTGCATGATTATTATATCCTGGATTATTATAGACTGAATGCAGCTGATCTTCACTTGTGAATAATAGTGAACATGTGTATTCTTTTTGTATATCATTTATTTTTCTTTTTGTAAAATATTATATCCCACCCCACCAGCAAGCTACTGTCCACCATTAGTGACAATATTGATACAGTATGAAGTGCTCATTAGTGTTAGATGGTCAGGCAGGAAAAGGTTATTTACAATGGGTATCTTCATGGGTGTGGCAGTTTCCTATAAAAAAAGAAATTTAAATTTAGTAATCTGATTATAAGATATGTGAATATGTTACTAAAATGATACAATTGGTTAAAACAATGATGGAATTGAAGTATTCAGCTTGCTAGTTTTTGAACAAAAAATCTTAGCTTTTTGTGGTGAAACTGTTAAGAAAATGGGCAACTTGAATCAGGCTTTTTGTCTTGTTTTGAGAGGTCAGAGGTCAAGTTTTGTTTCCTTTAAGTAAAACTGGGGAGAATGATATTCTCGTTTACTAATGGATGCCCATATTGCGAAAAACTATTGAGACATTTGCACATTTCACTGAAAGGTTGAATGCCCAATGGCCAAAAGCTTTATATTGTACCATATTATATAAGTGATGCAGTGGAAAATTGTTCCTATGCTGGAAGAACATATTATGACATAACCGGACCTGACTTGACCTGCAGTACTATTGGATTGTTTTATGTGTGTTATGCATCTTGACATCATCATCATTGTTTCTCCAGGTTGGAGTTAAACTTGCTCACAATTTAGTGGCCTTCCATGATATAGAAATAAATCAGAACTTCATGCTTAATTCATATTTTCTTGTGTAGTATTTTATTTTTATTTATTTTAAAAAATATTATTTATTTATTTTTGTGTGTGTAATTGAGTCGATTTGGTTTTAATAACAGGGCACAATTCTGAAAAGCTCTTTTGTAACAAGAATGGGACACCAGTCAGGCAAGCACAAAGTTATTTTCATGGAACATGAGAGATGGCAGCACCTCCAAGCGTTAATAAAGTGGGTCATCTGACGCTATGGAACTAATTTTATATAGGGCGGACTTACATTTCATAATTCTGCATTCTAAAAAAGTTTTGACATTGGTGTATAATGTTACTTTCCCACCTTTGTGGTATAAATCAACGATAAACCAGCCGTCATGGTGGCTTGTCTTGTTAATTATCAACATCCGGGACACTTCACAGGTGATATGCCAACGATTGCAGCTGAGTTTACAAACATTTCGTCAGTTTTGTGCAAGTGTGTGTGAAGGGGTCTGGAGATAAACGAGCCCCATAACAACTGGAGGCGTTTCGTAGGATGGAAGCTTTGTCATGGAGCATAGTATAGCACTATTCGATCCCAACACCACGGACGAAAATGTTTTACCAGCTGCTCTCCCGCCGGAGGTAAGTTACCGTGCAAGTTGTACTCCTGTCAAATTTGTGTCATGCAATCTGCCTCACTTTAAAAGACTCAGTTTCATAATTGAAAAAGTTTATATAGCATTTTCAATCAGGATGTAATTCTCGAATCGTGCACAAAGTCATTGAAAGGTTTTGATTTTTACGGAGCTCAATACATACTGTATACAGTGTATGTAAACATAATTTTCGTTGATCAGCAAGTTTGTTGGACAAGCCCCGACATGATTAATGTCATAGACAACCATTACCTTATCATTTACCGTACACGGAACCAGCTACACCCAAACCTGCTTGACAAACGCAGTGGATGTTTTTTTATGATAGCCATAAATTCTAAATCAATATTTTATCTTATTTGATTTTATTATTATTATTTGCCCACTTAAAAGAGTTTACAAGTCATATTTTTAATTTTCTCTAAATGTTTCATTTTGAATGCTTTAAAATACTGTAGTGTTTTGGGGGGACAATGCCTAACTTGACTGGGAATTGAAACCAGGACACTTGTTCACCATCATACACCATGTGAGTGCTCTCCTACTTGGCTGTTGAGCCTGGATCTCCCCCTGCCAGTCACTACACTCCAAACAGAAGAACATCCAAATATTTTAGTGTAATATAGTTACTTGACATCTTTTTCATACTATCAGTATTTTAAATGGCCTGAATTTTTTCATTTATTTATTTTTCAGATTGAAGAAGGGAATGTTGAATATAAGGTGAGAATATGATTGCAAATATCTACTAGTAACAGGGGCGGATTAGGTCGTCTTCTGGGTCTTCCGAAGACGGTCAGATTTTCAAGTTTAATTTACGGGTATCTATTTTTTCTGTTGGAAGACGGTCAAAATTGGAGGATGAATCAACATAGATAATTTGGAAGACTGTCAGTAAATAACTGTGGATCTGCCCCTGAGTAAAACAAGGTTCACAATTTTGAGAAAGACACTAAACATGAAGTCATGTACAACCCATGTATAATGATATTTGGACAAAATGTTTTTTAATTGCATTAAACAAGAAATTAATGAGTTACTGAAGAAGAGAAGTCTGTTTTAATTTTAACTGCTTTGATACACTTTTTGTGATTGTGTGTAGTATTGTATAGTAGTTCATCAAAATAAACCTTTGATCCTAAAATTAAAGTAAGGTGAAAGTTGAGACTTTTATTACTGTGCCTCTTATCTGTCTCAAGTTGAAACTAGTGAACCCATCAGTAAGCAGATTTGAGCATTTGGTCACTCAGATGAAATGGAGGCTGGCAGAGGGAGAGGGGGAAGCAATATACGAGATAGGAGTAGAGGACAGTGGGATGTTAGCTGGACTTACGGAGGAGGAAATGACAGCTTCCATGGAAACCTTGACTCGGATGGCTGACAAGTAAGTTTAGTTACTAAAAATATGAAGCAAACTACATAGTAAAAGAGGTGATATAAAATTTTTCCTCACTTGATTGTCACTTGAATCTTTGATACAGGAGGGTGAGTTATTACCTTACGAGGCTTGTGCTGATGTATTATTTTTTTCCCAATTTCACAAGAAAGTGAATTTTGTTCACAATAAACTTTCATTTTCTTTATTTTCAAAATCTGCATTTCACAGCTTAGTTGGTAACAAATTAACAATATAAATTTAGATACTATGTGATTTCTATTCTAGACTTGGTGCTAGTATCACACTCCTTCGTGATCGCACGATAGAAGATGAATCAACTGCTGTATGCAGGCGTGCAGCAGAGGTTCTGGTCAGGAAAGTCCCAGATGACCAACAGGTACGTAAACATGGGACATACCAGTTCACTTAATAGCTATTAGACAACACTATACTAGTATGTAGATTTGTGATAATTGTAACCTCCTATGTCCTAAACATGCTTAATAGGATGAAAGCATGCAAACAAACACAGGCACACACTCCTTTTTAAAGCCAATTATTTAAGTGTCACACTTATTGCAATTATCTCTTGTCACACCCGACACAATTACCTCATTGTAATTCCTAACACAATTCTATTTGCCTTTCAGTTTATAGATGTGAGACTGGCAGTGCTAGGGAATGCAGATGCCGGAAAGAGCACTCTGCTAGGAGTGCTTACACAGGGAGAACTGGACAATGGGCATGGCCGGGCACGTCTCAACTTGTTCAGACATTTGCATGAGATTCAGTCTGGCAGGACATCTAGTATTAGCCATGAGATTTTGGGTTTTACAAACAATGGAGAGGTGAGAATGAAAAGGAACTGCAACAATCTGTAAAATAAATTTGTTCAAGTGCTGCGTTCCTTGCTCCTGTTAGTTTTTAAAGCAAATCTATGATAAAAAGAGTTGTTAAAATGTTGTGGGTACTGTACTTGGATGAGTTTACTGTATCTTCCTCTTAATAATGTGCTAACCTAAATCTGGTAAGTTCATAGCTTACAAACCCTTAGGACAAAAAAGGTGACTCGTGTCTGTCTATGGGAATTTTTTGTCACAACCTTTGAACTCCAAGCATGATTACATACCATACAAAGTTACATGTAATTTTTTCTCCTTCCCCAGGTGGTCAACTATAGTGAATCTCGTAGTATAGAAGAAATTTGTGAGAACTCCAGCAAGCTAATAACCATGATAGATTTGGCAGGACATCACAAATACCTAAAGACAACGATATTTGGTCTCACTGGCTATGCCCCCGACTTCGCCATGCTTGTTATTAGTGCCAATACTGGCATAGGTATGTACAACTGAATTTATAAAGTCCTGTTGTCTTTTTATACATTTTTCTTAATAAAACCATATATGTGGATACTGGCTACAGTTTATATGGTACCCAGTCAATTGCTGGTATAATGTGTATCATTTTGAAAAACAAAAAATTTTGGGAGACATTGCTTTTCTTAATGTGTGCATTCCTAATGAAATTTTAAGGCTGCCATAAAGAAGAAAAAATTGATGAGTTGATATAGTACTCTGTAGATAAAAAGCAGTATATTTTCACATGTCCAATATTAATTGACAAAAGCTTGGTTATGAAGAACTATAATATCCTTCACTTGATATTAAACTCTCAATTCTTATTTCTATTTTTCAAGCTGGTACTACAAAAGAACATCTTGGTCTTGCCTTAGCAGTAGATGTCCCGGTGTTTTACGTTATAAGTAAAATAGACATGAGTCGCCCTACTTACATTGAGCGCACTATAACACACCTTGAGCGCTTGTTGAAGTCACCTGGGTGTAATAAGATCCCATTCCGTGTGGAAACAGAAGATGATGCCATGGTTGCAGCCACCAGGTTTAACTCCAATGAGTAAGATTCCTATTTATTCCTACTGTAACATGTAACATTCTAGAACTGTAGTACGTCTGATATATATATATATATATATATATATATATATATATATATATATATATATCATAATAGGGGTTTATTTGTTAATTTATGGATTAAAGTAAAAACTATATTTATTAACCATTTTTGAATGCAAATTGGATTGATTTTTTCAGCTTCATATGTTATCCATAGTATTGTTTTTTTACAATTAAAATGTAGCTATCACTGCATTTAGAAATGGAAAAATAATTATTTTCTTAAGGGGTTTGTGACACTGATATTACTCTTTCAGGATTGCCCCCATCTTCCAGTTATCCAGTGTCAGTGGAAAGAACATCAACATACTTCTCAAGTTTCTCAATGTCTTGCCACCACTTCACAGTGCCAAATCCAGGGAGCACTTGCTCCAGGAACCTGCTCTGCACATGGTGAGTTCACTGGTTTTGATACCACCACCAGTTAAGTGCTATAAATCAGATACACTTTATATAGAATATACTATTGAATTCTATTTCTGGGCATACAAATTTGTCTAATTGATGGCATTGTTCGCCCTCTTGGAGACATCGCCTGGAGTACTGAGAGGGAGAAATAACATTGTCAACTAGACAACTTTGGAGGTCCAGAAATAGATTTAAACAGCTTACTTTATGTAAAATACAACTACATGACTGACATACATAGTTGTAGATACATTTTGTATTTCTACCTTGTACAGTCTGATTGTGAAATTGTGGTTTGTGTTGTTAGATGCATTTATATTTTGCTGCCAATCAATTTGACAAGTTGTGTTTTCAAGTTTAATAGTTTTAAATATAGATTTTTCAACAATTTAGTAAAATTTTAGTTAAATCATAGCTTTAAAAAACCAAAAAGTTTAGTTTTACTTGTTTTTCAAGGTCAGACCTGAACTTAATGGGTCAGGTTGATATAAAAGTTGTCATTTGATTTACTTGCTGTAAAGGAATATTGTTTAAGAAGAAATACTTTTTCCTCAGGTTGATGAGGTCTACACGGTTCCAGAGGTTGGGACGGTGGTTGGGGGGACCCTTGTAAGGTAAGGAAATATTTTATAGGAGATACAGATGATAATGACTGAATTTTGATTAATTAATGAAATTGTTTTTTTATTAATGGAATGTTTCTGATTATTTGGAACACATTATTTGGTTGTCATCACATTATGTGTATGTTCACATAGCATCTTTGTTTCAGAAATCAAAATTCACACTTGGACTTTGGACAGTGAAATTTATAACAGTTGCTGGAGAGATATATAGAAGCCAAAAAGACTTAATAAATGTAATCATTTTTCTAGGGGTTGTATCAAGGAAGGTGAGAAGTTGTTAGCAGGACCAACAGACAATGGTCACTTCAAGGAAGTATTTATCCACTCCCTGCATAGAAACCGCCTACCTTGCCGCCTTGTCCAGGCTGGTCAAACAGCTACTCTGTCACTTGGACACTGTCCATTTAGTATACGAAAGGTAGGTGTACATAGTTATGTATTGACTACTAGCAGTTACATCTTTCGTGTATTTAAGTACTTTTTATTGAAAATACAGAATAGATGGTAGTCAGTATGGTCACTTGAAAATTATAGAATAAATCTTATGATTGATCTAAAAAAGCTGTATACTTGCATAATTTTTGGAGTTTTTTTGCATTTGGTGATGTTAATATTAATTAATGTTATTGTGTTCTAAATTTGAGACATGATTGACTTACATGGTAAACTTACACAAACATATTGGTACCTATTATGTAAATTGTTTATGTTAGGGAATGGTCCTAGTAGATCGTCACTGTGAGCCAGTATCAAGCACCTGTTTTGAGGCCAGCATATATTTGCTGTTCCACTCAAAGAGCATTAGTAAAGGCTTCCAGACCACAGTCCACATAGGGAATGTTTGCCAGACTGCTATCTTAGAGTGGATGAACAAGGTGAGTAGGTTTCCACTTAAGAATATGTCACTTCAATTGTTATATTTCTTTTAGATGGTACTCAGTTACTATCAAGATCTTTAAATTCTAGATGACATGCTGATATTTACCAATTCTAACATGCTTTGTGTCGGTCAGAAATGTCATAAATGCAGTGCAGTGAAAATTGCCATACATAAATGTAAAAAAAAAAACTTTATACAGAAAGAAAATTGTCAAGGTTAATACCACTTACTATTGTTTCCTTGTGTATTGACAGGAGTGTCTGCAAACCAATGAAAAGGCCCAAGTAAGATTCAGATTCATCAAGCAACCGGAATATATTGTGGAGGGGTCAAGACTCCTGTTTCGAGATGGAAAAACCAAGGGAATGGGAGAGGTCACAAAAATATTCCCCTATGAATTTGATGACAGGCAAGATAGATGAACTGACAAGAGTAAAATTACATGGGTCAAGTTCATTATAGATCTAGGTCAAAGCTTAAATTGGAGTCAACATAGGGTCATAGATCATAGTAGAATCCCCATACGTGTTAGTGCCATGATTGGACTTTGCAATCGTGTTGTATCAGTCGTTTAAGGCTTCATGCAATTTGTTTAACAGTTCAGCATAAAGATATTTTGGCAGCATTAATTTTGCAACTTTTATCGAAGGCTTGAGACCCTTCATGAGAACCAGTTAGTTATATTAATTGATTGAAAATGCCGTGTGGAATTTTTACCACACATGGTTAGAAGTCAACTATTAGCTTCTGGTTTCTTACAAGATTTTTGTTACCATATTTGGTATTATATTTTTAAATCGTGAGATACTTTTGGCTGTAATGTTTGTAGAAGAATACTTGGAATCTGTGTCAATTATTTTGAAAATGAGGCTTTTCAGTCCATTTAAATCTGCTTTTAATGTGCATGCAAATTTACAGAGCAAATTTTTTTAATGGAATTGTCCATTAGATGGGTGAGATGGCCAGGAGTGACTGAAACACTGACTATCCATTGCCTTCATTCAATGTGAAGCAGTTCTAAACCGTAGCTACCATGTAGTCAAATGAAGTCAGATATCAATGGCAGTTTTACTGTCACTGCAAGACTGTCAATTTAGCCAATATTTTGCTGTAGATTAGTGGATTTGAGGTACCTATGGTCCTGTACCTACAATGGTTTGGTGCCATACTGTACCTATCATTTCTGGTACCATGGAACCACGTACCATAGTCCTGTTTTTTTTTATATATTTTTTATATTACTGTTCAAAAACTCTTTAGTATTTTATAATATAGTATGTATCTTAGGCTCCACATTTTAGCTTTTAAACTTGTTTTGATAGTAATTATTGTTAGTGTATTTATATGTGAAGTTGTATCAGTTGTTGCATCATGGGCATGTTCAAAAATTGAATGTAATTGAAGGAATTCTATTTCAGGTAATTTATTGCATTTTTGAATCCTAAAGATTGTTTTCAATAAATGTTTTGTGTGTTAAACCTAACGTGTTGTTTGTACCATGTATGGGTTAAGATTCATCAGAAAAGACCGCTTATATATTCATATATTTGATTTTAGATTGGAACCTTTAACCATGTTAAATCAGGCTTTGTTTATATTACTGTTTTGCCTCAACCAAAGATTTAAGGCGAAAAGCAGAAAAATAATCCCGAGGAAAAGTTTTTTTATGAAAATGGCCCTCCCCACACAAATTCACACAAAGATTTGTGTCTGCAATATTTACTGATTCTGTCTAAACCAATAGCATTCCGTCAAGTGTTGAGTGGGTAAGGTATACGGCATTGGCGTATTCTGCAATGAGGGAACTTGAGGCAGTAATGATGAAATAAGCTCTGTTTATCATAAGCTATAGTCTTGTCAATTGGTCTGTAAGATTTTAAAAGCAGTGGTAGATGCGCCTTTCCTGTGAGAGTTATTACAAACAACTCCATAAATCAAAATGCATCATCCCTGTTATCAGTAATAGTTGTGCTCTGTATGCTCTCTGTATGCAACTTAGAAGAGCCTAATGAATTATATTGATGCACATACAGTGGACGATGAGTAGTTGTAACCTTGGACATAAGAACATAATTATGTCCAAGTTGTAACTAACTTATGCCACGGCTGGCGCTTTGAACAATAGGATGAACGCACCGAAGCGTATGAAAATACAGGCAAGCTTGTGCCCGAAATACATTGTTCGAAACGCCAGCCGTGGTATAATTAGCATAACAGTCGCTCCGTGCAGCATGAGCTGTCTTCCAGAATAGTCATTTGACGGCTGGAGTCTGTAAGAAGAGGACGCAGGATAAGTGTGGCGAATCCGCGAGGCAGAATATTTCATTCAGCGTTGATATACGAATATGCCTTGTGAGTGGCATTTCCTCAACAAGTAAGAAATATAAGCGTATAAGAATGAAAACGAGTTACGTCGTACGTGCACAATTCCATGGTATGTACAGCTACATGTATCACCAGAGTAATTTGCATACTTCGTGAACTTTGTGAATCCAATTTTGATAAAGCAAGGAGTTATAACTCCTTGGATAAAGTTTGTTTATGGGTGTTTTCCGGGTGCTTCTTTTATTCAATATTTTGTTGAACAGGCCTAACAGGCTCACTTTTCTTTGTAGTTGAGATGTTATTTCTTACAGTTAACTTATTTCTCATATTTGCTCGAGTTTATTTTATCAGGAAATAATATCCGTATATTTTCACATGTTCTAAACTTCAGGCTTGACAGTTGTCTTGGTGATTCATTGATTTTACGAAAAAGCGTAAGTTGATAATCTCTAAAATTCTTTTTAAATACCGATAAATAGAAGTATAATGTAAAAGTTGCTATCATATAAGATCCTTTTTGGTACCCAGAGACTGTCGGTTTGGTGCCACCAGAACAAATAAGTATTTTCAAACACCTGATTTAACCAGAGAAGAATTTCAACAGCTGTATTATAAGAATAAATCAATTTTTTAATCATCTTTTTCTAGAATTTGTAGTTGATGTAGTAGTATGTTCGTAATACTTCTCAAGTGCCATTAGCATTTGGCAGTTTGGTGTTCAGCTAGCCTCAATCCGACTTTTTCAACATCAATCCAAGTCTTTCAATGTTCAGTTAATTTTATCTTAGTTCGAATCTTATTGCTTTAGGAATTTGAACCATGTCACTAATAACGTTGTCTTTAAATTTCAGACCTGCCATATCGTTTGCCGAAACACTGCAAAATGCACCGATAGCTGGCCTTGCCCTCTGCTCTAATTTTGGAAATGGACGAACACGAGCTTGCGTTTGCTGTAATATTCAAATGATCTTAAACCTACATGTTAAAATAATATACTTACATGGATTGTGTTCCTTTTTCAATAATACAAATTTATTTTTCAACTTAAACCTTGGGTATTAGTCATTATCTTTTTCAAATTGCTCCTTGGAACACATTTGGATTTATGATTCTATTTAAAACTCAATTTTCTGTCATACTTTATTATAGTAATTATATTGTATTATAGTAATTGTGTCATTATCAGTGTTTAGATTGCCATGACGTAATTTTCAAAGTATTTTAATAACACAGCTTTCAAACTTTAGTATAAAAGTGCATTTTTCACCTTACCGCTAGTTGAAACCTATTAAGGCGATCAACTACTGTATCATTTGCCACTATAATTCACTTTGTAAAAGTCAGTTTGGTTTGCTTATTATTCGTAAATGCTCCATTATGGTGCTTGTGGACGACAAACTGCTTGAATAAATGCGCTTTTAGTTCTAATCTTGATGTCAAATATGCAGAAATAAAAGCAATATTAATTTGTACCGAATTTTAAAAATTGTGATAGTTTGTAAGATGCAGTGCATCATTTCACAAAATATAACTTTGAGTATATTGTGGAACTGACTATTGTACTACTATTGTAATCATATAATAATAAATAATACTACTATTGTAATCATATAATAATAAATAATACTACTTTTGTAGTTATCTAATAATAAATAATACACTTTAATTTCAAAGTTCGCAATAAGTGTGATAATAGTTTATTCAATGCTTTTTTGTCATGATGTATTTGAGAAATCGCCGCTGGGATAATCTTATTCATTCGATTTGGAAGTGGGTCGAATCCATTACTATGAGGGGTGACAGGTGGGGCGAGTCCATTCCACTTTTGAGNTCCGTTTTGGAGGGGTGACAGGTGGGGTGAGCCCATTTCGTTTTTGAGGGGTGACAGGTGGGGCGAGTCCATTCCATTTTGAGGGGTGATAGGTGGGGCGAGTCCATAACTACTTTGAGGGGTGATAGGTGAGAAAAGTATTTAACAAATAGTATTGAGAAAATTTTATGAAATACTTTAAAGCTATGTCAAGATATGAAAATAAGGATGTTTGTCATCAAAAATTATGAAAATGATATGATAAACAAACCAAATAAAATTTAGCCAACCATTGTACAATTAAAGAACAGAATAACACCGAATGGAGCATGCTTTATTTTAAATGAGAGTTATGGATATCTATTTTTGAAGGGAAGAAAAAATAAGACAAACGGTCTTGAAATTGATAAAGAAAACAACGTGTGCAGTAAGAAACCACTTTAAACAACGATAAAATTTCTGTAAAGAATAGGAATTGTAAAACGTTTCAATCTTATTCTTTCTAATACCATTTATTGTTACTAACGAAGCGTTGGTGAAGGTTCTTTCCACTTCATTTTTCTGTTCGAAATTTTATAAGAGGAATTCATATGAAATTTGGAATGCCAAATATAAATAGAATTTATAAATGCGGATTGACACGTTTAGAACTTTTAAACCATTTCACTTTCGTTAGTTCATTAGCTACCACAAAATAGCCAATATCAAAGGAAATATTTAAAAGCCCATTTTAGGAAGACTGAATATGAGAGTGCTAAATCTGCCATTATAATGGTATATCATCTTATTTTATTTCCCTTACAATTGCTATAATCTTTGTCATTGTTATTTTATATCAAAACAAAACAAAACAAAACAAAAAAAAACACAGAAAACATATTTATTCATTTCAAATATAAATGCGTGGATGGTTGCCGAGTTCCGGATAAAAGGCAAGGTGGGTCCCAGGTGCATGTTGTGCAGTATCGAGGTGGGCTTCTGAAATGAGAAAATAATGTTATGAATTTTTTTAATAAAATGGATAGGTTCTTAAAATGTTTTTAAATGTTAATTTTCATGATATATTTTTCCGGCTTGTCGGGAGTTAAGATTCAACTAGCACCGGGAAAAGAAATGGCTTGTGTCTATAGGTTGCCTTTTGTCAAAATTATGATCAGAAATTAATAAATGATATCTTCAGAGGGTACTCCGAAAGTGCAGCATTCCCTCAAAGCAAAATATATGAGCGTAATAGGAGACTGTATATGGCAAACAGCCTCTTTATAAAATATTATTGATCATTGTAAATTGAACAATTGAAATCTGTGGGTATGTGTTTAAAAAAACAAAGTATACTTATCGTTCAAAAATATTTTGATGGCTTGTCAGTCTGGGACAGAAAATCGCCTACGTTTCACACATAACCTTATCTGAAACAAATATAAGAACTATTTTAGCAATATGTAGCCTTACCCCTGCACATGTTAATGGAAAAAAATTGAATCGAGCATTATAATCGAAATTAGTTAGTCAGTGTTCCATGTGGTCATGCTTACATTCACTGGAACATTATCAGGCACGCATGCTCTTTTTATTGCCTAGGGTCATGCAGAAATGTTCATACATATTTTTTCTAAAAAGAATTATTGATTAACACATTTTGTCTTCTTCACATTTTAAATCCTACATATAGATACTTGGTGGTACAATTCTAAGAGGAAAGAATCGGGAACGACATAAAGCCACTTCTAAGAACAATATATATATCCATACCAAATGGAAAAGATCACACAAAATTGGTTTTCTTGAAATAGCTTGCTACAGTGCATTTTGCAATTAAAACCTATAAATCTCAAATCTGGTTCTTCGGTGTTACATGATCAAGATTCGCTCTTAAAGAAATAACAGTATGTGCAGGAGTGGAATTTATTCAAACCTCTTTTTCTCAATCAACCCACGACCCCCCCCCCCCCCCCCCACACACACACACACAAGAATTCGGCAAATTTTGGCACATATATGATACTAAATCAGCAACATGGATGGACTCTTAGTTTAGATATAGTCCGTTCATTTTTATTTCTTTTATCAGGGTTTTTCAGAATATATTAATTGCTTTTTACGTGCGACTTCACATTTTATAATATTATAACCCAACTAATAACCCAAATATTATAACCCAACTTAAAGCATTACATTCGATACCAATGCCAATCTCCGGATATTAACTAGAAGACCACCTTAGTGCGACTTTCTTGGCATGGGTGCGGACACTGCCGAACACCAATCTGATGCTGTAGGCTTTAAATGAAATGAAATGGGGGGTCGCAACCAATCAGCTCCTAAACAGTAGGTAAGTTACTAAAATTAAACAAAAAATCCACATGTAAGAAATACAACACCTTAGGGATTGATAAAGCAGTATATAACCATATCAGCAACCCATTTCGATACACATGACATAGGCTAACATGTTAATAAACAAATCACAATTCAACTTTAAAATCTAATACGGAAATATCTGTATTGAACCAACTTCTTTCTATGCAACCACGCAAACATTTGACAGAAAAGTCCAGTTTGCACTAAATTCACAGTATCTATGAAAAAGAACGAAATAATCATGGCATTCCTATTCACTGGCGGATCTAGGATTTTGCAAAGGGGGGGGGGGGGTGCACGAGGATAAAAAATTTTCTCGCTTTGCTCGAAAAATATTTAAAAAATGAAAAGACAATTTTACTGTAATTTGTAGGGCACGGGGATGTTTTGGTTAACCTTTTTAATTCTTTACACACGGATGTAAAACAGTTCGACTAATGTATTATCAAGCAACGAAATGTGAATGAGATAATGAACATTGGAAAAATTGAAGAGTGACATACATTGTAGTAACAAAAATTGTACCGCTGGAATTAGCCTTTTACTTCTTTATTTCCCCTTTGATAAATATCAGATTATATTTTTTAAAGAATCTTTACTGATTTGGGGATTTAACGGAAAATATCGTTTACGTAAGTAGACTTTCCATTCTGTCTAAAGTGCGAAATTTTCAAATAACTTCACGCAAAATATGCAATGCTATTTTACATCTATCCAGTAGGCCTACTTACAACAGATTGCTGCCGACTTCAAAATAAACTTACTTGTAAAGTCTGTGGCAATGCAGCATGAAGCTTCTTTCTTCTCCGTCTTCTGCTGACCTCGGTCCTACAGGTATCTGAACACCTGTCACCAAAATGCTCACCTTATATAGGCCCTACACAATATAGTCATCCGCTTTCCGCATGGAAGCCTCGATTTAAATGTTACTCTTTGTTGTATATGGTATTAATTTAGCATAATGTGATTTTTTGTGCTGAAATAAGAATCACTAGAGCATTTACATTTTGTTTCGTATCTTATTACTACGTAGGCTACTTGTTATCAATTGATCTCAGGCTTAGCAATCGGGGGCATCTGCCAACAGCTAGGGCCCTAATCTCTGACCACAGCGTACCATACTGGTAGGCTAGTAGTCTCACCTACAAAAATTTTGTATCGCTCAAACTTGAATTTTGTATAGATCTACTATTTTAGAAGCTCCTAATATCAGAACGTAACAGGGGCCCGTGTACATATGCAGGCCCCTATATAGTCACTGTATACGTGTAGGCTTACCTTGTAGGCTACGTGTCCTAACTTATTTCCCAGAAGTTCAATTCTATTAGCACATTGTTTATGAAGGCTATCTACAGGGCCTCCTGTAAATTTCACAAGGTAGGCCTAGGCCTAGGCCCTATATAGGCCCTACTTGTCCACAATTTCAATTTGTGTCATCGGCTTCTTACACTTGTTTATCTAATCTTCCTTTGTCTTTGCCATTTAAATTAATCTACGGTATGTGAAACTTGTGTATTTATCATAAGAAACTTGTAGGCCTAAACCGCCAGTCTGCCTCTGAAACGTCTATCGTTTTATATTAGTCCTTGCGCTAGTCCTAGGCAAAACCACGGTTCCGTCAATATTAATTATTGAAATATTTACAATCCAGTGAAAGTCATACACCGTAGAATCCGTTTTTAAAAATTTAGTATTTCGGCCACAGGGGTCAACATCACCCTCTATAACAAAATTTCCACATTGACAATACCCCCCCCCCCAGGAAAAATAAATGAAAAATAGGATGGTTGGACAAAACAAATATCTTTATCTTAAAAGACAAAATATCGAAGTATTTATCTTATTTTGAAGACAGAAAATGCTATTCGTCATTTTAATAATTTTAAACGATATATTGTAACTAATGAGTTGAGACATGGGCATGTAGGCCTAACAAAGTGCACACAAGCCCGGACCCCTGCAGGTAGAATCTTAAATTGACAAAAAGAAAAAAAATAGCACTGGGGAGACTTTTTTATGATTGCTGATGTTAGAAATAAACGGAGGATGTGCAAAGGGCAAAGAGCTTATAGGACCGACTTCCCATGCAATTTCTAGGCCAGTGCTACCTGATATTGGTAGCCTACATGTAGGTCTACAATAATAGCCTAGTAGGTCTAGCATTTACTGAGTATCTACAGCAGTTAGATCAGTAAAAGTGATAAATAATCATGTTTTAGTAAGTACACGTCTCAACAGTAAATATGACTTCGATCTATCGTTCGAAATTTTGATATACAACTTATCTGCAGCTAGCATAAGCTAGGACCTTTGCGTACATGGCGCGGCCAGCGCAGTGCTTGTTTTTTTTTTATTTTGTGTTGGATATGATAATACGGGTTGGCCGTTTTTTCATATTTAATTATAGACGATTTAAAACAGAAAATGCATGTCTAACATATTAAATGCTTTGACATCGATAGGTAACTGAATAAAATATATGGGGCTTTCCACAGAATTCTGTCTCATACCTTCGTCAATACCAATCAATACCCGTCTCAAACGAAATCAAAACGTGTTTTCTGTTGTGTGTGTTTTATCTTTTCGAGACAAAATAAAACCATTTTTGAAAGCTTTCTTGGCTTCATTAGAGAAAGACAACTAATTTATTCCTAATTTACCACATTTATCTTTAATTTTATACCGATTACGTAAAAAATGGAAGGATTTTTAGTAAATAGTGCATTTGATTTCAGTATCAGTCGTTCATGTAAGGTGTAAATACTTGAATATCTTAGCACCAAAACGCACCAAATTGCACAAAAGGCTTGCATTTGGAATAGTTTACAAAACTGTCAAAAACTTAATTATTTTATACGGTGGTTTCTCTGCTATATGTCCCCGAGTTTATTATAAAAACACAAAAGCAGACGACGGAGAAGCCATATTGTTTTCTTGGCAAAAAAGCTCGAGGTGCGTTCTCAGACGTCCGCGTGATATTAATAAAAGGAAATTCAATATCTTCTTTACTCAGTTGAAGTTTTCCGTCTGTGACAACTTTGCTACAACATTGTGGAAACTATGGCTGGAAGTCAAACTGGATCCCCAAAGAGGGCTGCCTCTCCCACGAAACCTGCTTCGCCTAAGAGCTCCCCAACTAAGGCTAAGAAGAGGACCAAGTCGGCGGCAAAGCCCAGTGTCCACCCTGCCACCTTGGCTATGGTCACCCAAGCCATCAAGGCTCTCGGGAATAAACGTGGATCTTCTGCTCAAGCTATTCGCAAATATATCATAGCGAATTTCACGGGAATAAATGAGGCTATGCTGCGTCCTATGCTGCGCCGAGCGTTTGCTGCAGGTCTGAAGAGCGGGCTGCTCGTTCGTCCGAAAGGCTCAAGTGCCACCGGCAGCACAGGTCGTTTCCGTCTAGGTAAAGTGAAGGCATCGCCCAAGAAGAAGAGCCCCAAGAAACCGAAAAAGAACAAGCCAAAGAAGAGATCAACCTCCAAATCCCCAACAAAGAAGGCGAGAAAATCCAAGCCCAAGACCAAGAAACCCGCAAAGAAAGCTGCCAAAAAACCCAAAGCAGTCAAGAAATCGAAATCTCCAAAGAAAGCCAAGAAAACTGCCTCCAAAAAACCAAAGGCAGCAAAGAAGGCAACAAAGGCAAAGCCAGCAGCCAAGAAGACTAAGAAGACAGCTAAAGCATAGACAGCAATCACTTGTCTTAACCATCTTTATAAAGGCCCTTTTCAGGGCCAACCCACTTTTACAGAAAAGCTAAGCCAATGATAAAAAAATGCCGCACATTCATTGTAAATAGATGTTGATTGCTTTTTTTTCCAGTGGACACCCCCCACCCCCCCAAAAAAAAATCTCTGTGTGCAAGGTATACTATACATCATAGAAGTACTTCTATGTATACATGTATACTAGTAACAAGATCTACACTTCATTATCCATTTAATTATGAAAAATTTCTAGTTTCCATTGAAGAAAAAATTAATTAAGATAATATCTTTAATAATTGAAAAAAAAAAAAAAAACCCTAGGAATTAACATTTATGTTAGCAAAAAGGGGGGTTTAAATCCTTTCCCATCTTTGGAGTCATGCACTACTTCCTTGCATTTTTACCATCCCCCCCTTAACATGTTTACAGGAAACAGTACTTTCATTTATAAAAGGCACAAAACTAATAAAAGATTCTCAAAGCTTTCAAATATTTCTGCACTGAATTTATTTCACTATGTGAAGTACAAAATATTTTCAAACTATATAACTAGGTATACATTGTAGTATATAGATGCTTCTATATGTTATAATTTGTAAATGCATGTACCGGTAGCATAATAGTACAAAAAGTTAACCTAGAGATAGGTTTCAATTAATACTTTATCACAGTAATTCATTGTCTTCATAAAGAAAGAAAAAAAAAAAAGATAGTAATATGTTACACTTTTAATGCACAAAAAATCCTCTGCCCCGAATAAATATATATTAAGCAAAAACCTCACAGTTCACTGGTCAACACAATTCAGCTGTTTGACAAGCGACTAGTTAATCAAAACTATTATCTGTACTAGGAATGCATATTTATAATGCTTTACATTAACATTATGGGTCTCTCTTGGCATGGACGGTTATATGTAAATATAATTTACAAAATATCAGTAAAAAGTTTTAAGATTTACAAAAAAATGTCCCCACTCATCTAAATAAAGGCAAGCAGGAGATTGGACGGCATCATTAAGTATCTACAGTCATTGGAATGTTAAGACAATTGCCTACATTTTCATTGCGTAAATTATCATATTATGTACAAATCAGTAGTCATAGTGGACTGAAAAAATGAAAAGACTATAAAAATGTAAAAAAATAGGAGAAATTTTCTTGAATAAATATGTACTGCATCACCAATGATTTAAATAATCTTCATAAGATGATGGAAATAGTAATTGCATAGTCTTGTCATGATGATAATCAAACATCTGACCTACTGCGTGTCTAAATCTAGAAAATGCTGTAGTAATGCATATAGCATTCTTCTACAGTCAATACTAGATGGAAAAATAATATACTAAATGCCCAGATAACTTAATACATACATATATATCAAGACGGTCACTTTGTGCATGAACTGTTCAAGTCTGATTTGATATTGTACATTTGATGTCTTGGACTGAGCTGTCAGGCATGATTATGATATCAAGTATAACTCAGTCTTGAATGTAAAACTTGTTTTACGACCGATTTCATTTATGGTCTATGTCATCAACATTAATTGTTATAAAAATAATTTATCCCATTCACATATTTTTAGCTGTGGTCAAGTCCTGTTTTTTCTTGGCTATATCAGTCTCGATGTGTGCAACTTTCTTCATCAGGAGATCTCGTCTCTGCTGGACAGTGGCCAGTTGTTGCTTAAGTGTGTCCAGTCTCTGGCCATCACCACTGTCCTCATGCTTCTTAATGCCCTCCTCCAAGTCAGCAGCAGATTTCATCACCTGGAGAAAGAGAATAGTCACAAGATTGGTAATGAATGCCCATATTTTATTACCGATTTAGCATCTTTTGATTAGATATGGGGTAAATTAGGTAATATATCTATATGTGCACATATTTGTACTGCACCAGTAGTAGGTGACTCCACATACATATATCTTCACCATAATGTTAACTATCCTGAGTGTGGGCAAAGTTCACTTTTTATCTTTTATAGACTCAACAAGACTAACAAATACAGAGGTCACACCAACTTTTTTGTTATTACAAATTCTAGTTGACAACATGTTTATAATCTCTCACATACAGAGTATGTGGCATTATTATTTTAAGTCAGTATTGTTTTAAAATAACCAACAATAAGAAAACAAAACTGTTTGTATTATCTTTTCCTGCAATGTCAACAAATGCAATGTGTACAAGTAACATTGACAGTACTGTCTATTGGAAGTTCTGATTGAAAATCTGTTTGAACATATGAAATGATAACAGAAACAGCTGTGTACCTGTGCCAGCTCTGCATTGAGTGTGTCACACCTGTCCTGCAGGTGCTTCAACTGAGATTCCACCAGATCTTGATGGCTGTCCAGGTGACGCTGCTTGAACATACCCCTGCAAAAGAATAAAAGTAGATAATGTGTACATGTAGCTAGGAAAGCATAAATGTAACAAATAACTTTGTATTTGACACTTAAGACAGTTCAAACTTCAAACAGAATATTTATTTCACATAAAAGACCACTTAACAAACTGTGACACAGGTATTGCAAAAATGCTGGTGAATGCCATTAGTCAACATGTATCTGAAAGTGTCTGTGAACTTAGCCATCATCTTACTTTCGGTCAGTTTTGCTTCTATTCCCCTTCTTCCCTCTTAGCTCTGTCAAGCGGTCTGCAATAAAGTCGCCAGATGCTGCTATTCCTCCCTTGGAAGCTAGAACCTGGCGAAGCTGGGCATTGCCAGAGAAAGCTTCATAACCTTGAATACGATTTGACATAGTCTGGAAGCAAAGAAACATATTTAATATTTATTCTGCAAAAAAAGTCAGTTGTATTTTTTGCTGCAGTTCGGAAACAGAGGTTTTCCTGAACATCATTTTCAAAACAGAAAAATAAATGAGTTTAATTATTATCAAAATAAATTGATAAATATTACCTGAACCATAAATTTCAAATGACACATTAAACATGCATTTTTTTTCTTTCATTGAAAAGACTCAAGGAAATTAAAAAGTAAAAAAGCAACACACCTTATCAGAGAAGTCTACATTTCCAGTCATTTTCTGCTCAACAAGTTCTCCAAATACATTTGCCTTTTGGTCAGGTGTTTTAGCATGTTTGAAGGCCTTCTCTAGTGCAGTTCTGCCACTGCCTGATCCAATTAGTGACTCGGCATTTGTTGTGCTGCGAGACCGTGCAAAGAACATATCCTGGCAGACAGCTCTCATGGACTAAAAATAATTGAATATCCTCAGTTTTAATGATCTATAAATGATACAGAAAGCTTTTTGTTACAAAGCTAGGAGCTTTAAGTGTTGTATGTGATATTTCAGTTTTTTTGCATTCAAGATGTTTTATAGTAATTTATGAAAATGACTGTTTCTAGCAAACAATAATGATACATGTAATATCAATTTCATTAAATTATAGTTCCTAAGAAAACACAGTTTAGATCACCCACCTTATAGAACTGCCGCAAAAAGAGAGGATTTGTGTCATCAGCCAGATCTCCAACTTTAATGTGAGCCAAACAGTGCAAGATGACAACAATGAAGTCCCCAACAGATTCCAATCTTTCTGCTCTGATGAACAGAATCTTGCGTGCATGCTCGTAAAAGAAGGAATTCCTGAATGCGTTGAACTCATAGTTGTTTGGAGGCAGATTGGACGCCAGAAGAAGAGTTACGTCAGGAGCGTCCACCAGCTGATGAAGCATGCGGTTGATAAAGACACCAAAGCGGTAAACCACAAACTGGCTCGCACTAATGTCATTGATGTCCACTGGGACGAGGTCACCTTTGCAAACCCATTGTGCATCCTTCACATCCAGGTAGGACCTGCTGTAGTCAGCACCTGTAAAACATGGTGAAAACATGGTAAAAAAAACATTCAACATACAGTTCATTTAAGTTGGTTAAGCTCTGTCGTATAAAATATTGTGCATACACTGTATGTGGCATCATTGTATTCTTTATGAAATAAGCACTTTGATATGAAAGTATCGCTTTAACAGCTTCATTCAGAAGTCTAAAATTGTCAGTCAGTTATCAGCAACAAATATCTCAGATTTGTTTACCTTACTCTTACTAACTCCACAACTGCTGATTTTGCTCCAATTGCACTCCCAGGCATTACAAAAATGACAACATATCAATAATAAAGTTTTTTAAGGCAAAGACTTTTTTACCTATGACTTTATTCGCTGGTCCTGCTCCCACAGTCTTGTCCAGCAGGTTCTCCAGATCACTTATCTGCTGGAACAATGGGGATGCCATCAGCATGTTCACCCAGTCCTGCTCTGCATTACCAGTGGGCATGAAGGGCATGTGACCAGACTGAAATAAATAATACAATTACTCATCTATACAATGTTAAAAAAGGTAAACCTTGAAAAAAATAAGGAAAAAATACAATATTATTTAAATTAGTTGTAATGGCCTTGAATTCATTTAGATGTTTTCTTTAACTTCTTGGGTGTTTTTTTTCTTTAAATTTTTATTTGGGTGCATAACATGTATCAAGCAGAAAATATAAGCATAATAAGTCTATACCTTAAATTCAATAACAATGATGACCATAAGTTTAGCAGACGTCATACCTGTTGCCCAGGGGTGTGCTGTCCCATTCCACCTTCTTCATCTTTGTTCCTCAGTGCCTCTTCCTCCATCTTTCTCTTCAGTTCACGCTTATATTCTTCCTCCTGTTCTAATTGAATATCTTTCTCCAACATGGCTGATTGAGATGCCTTTTGCTTGTTTCTTCGTGCCTCAAGTTTAGCTTGCAATGCAGATTTGCTACGTTCTTGCTCTTTCTTTAATGACTGATCAAATTTCTCCATGTTCTCTTTGTGCTCCCGCAGAAGGCGTTCTTTTTCTTCTTCACTAGTTTCCATTGTAGCAATTTCCTGACGACGTCGCTGATCACGCTCTTCCATTTGTTTTTTATGGACTCTTTCTCTTTCTGCAGCTCGTTGTTTCTCTCGTTCCTCTTCACGTTTTTTGTCTGCCTCCAGATCTTCTTCCATTTGTCTAAGATTGATACAGGATAAAATTTTATGCATTATCAATTTAAAAGCAGAATATATTTTTTATTTCCATTAGTACCCTCATGTTATTTTCAATCTTATATGACCCTAAGGCTTGTAATAATAAACATATTTCTAACTTCTAACTCATGAAAAAAATTGACAGATGTCCAGCTAAATTCTACCTGAGCTTTTCAGCCATCATCCTTTTCTTCTCTTCTTCCTGTCTTAGTTTATCAGCCTTCATCTTTTCCATTTCTTCCTGCATCTTTCTAAGTGAATCTTCCTTAAATTTGATCATTTCCTCTGCAGCTCGTTTGGCCTCTTCTTCATATTCCTTCATTAATTTCTCCTCAGCAGTCAGGTTGCGCATGGCTTCAGCTAACTCACGAAGTTGACGCTCTTTCAAAGCAAGGCGTTCATTGGTTGATTTTATGTCTGCAAGCCTGTCTGCATCCTTTTCTTCCTGCTTCACCAGTTGTGGAGTGAGGAGGTCAAACTCACCAAGAATTCGCTGAAAAGTAAGGGGAAGTACATGAAAATCATAATTTAGATTATAAGTAATACCATTGTAAGAAATATGAAATTAGTTCTGGTTCAGACCTAAATGATTCTTGGCATATCATAATGAACATTATATAAATACTTATTACAACTGCATTTGATATGCCCAGTAAGCAACACAGTTAATGTGTACAGCATTGGCTTAAACATTTAGTATACAGTAAGTTATGACTGTAACAGCAAAGCTTTAAAGGCAGTATGTTAAGTATTATAACAAAACCAAAGTCAATGTTAAAATATTTTTACATATTCAGGGGTATCTCCTTTTACCTGTTGTTGTCGTTTAAGTTCTTCTTTCTTCTCCTGAAGTTCTCCATTTTTCAAGGAGGCAGAGTTAGCTATGAGGTCCATGAGTTCCTAAAATGAATGTTGGTAAAACTTTGTTCTTCAAAACTTATCATTCCCATTACCTCATTACCAGACAAGAATGTGCAACATTTTACATATATCTCATTACCAGACAAGAATGTGCAACATTTTACATATATCTCATTCGTCTTAATTGTCAGAATTTTCTTCTTTTTTTTCTACCATAATAAGACATTTGCTGGGTTAAATATCATGTCCCAGTGAGACAATTGATAAACACAGAAGTGTTACTGTTTTTTGGTCATTGTGTAATGCTTCACAGAGCGGCAGGTGCACATTTTGCAAAACAGTGTACATGATTGCAAGACAATGTGCATGACAGTTTGCTAGAACATATGATTAACAGTATTATGGATAATAGTATAAGGTAAGCAGAAGTGCACTGACTTGTTCAAATGCTGCCATCAGTTTCTCCCTCTCTCCTTGGCGTTGTTCTTCCATCTGGGCACGGGCCTGAGCTAACATGGCTGCTCGCTCCTTTTCCAACTGGTCTTCAAGATGGATGCCTTCTTTCATGTGCCGCTGGCGTAGAACTGTGTACACCATGTTTTCTGCCTGCTGGCCATCTTTGTCCTGAAAAATTATACAGAAGATTAATATGATACATGTAATAGCTGTAAGTATGCATGCACTCACCCACACACTGCAGAGAGAGAGAGAGAGAGAGAGAGAGAGAGAGAGAGAGAGAGAGAGGACCATATTCAAACAAGCACATATTCACAGACACTTACAATATCCCGTATGGACATCCTCCCGTACACATACATGCATGTACAGTGTATGAATGCACACACATATGCATGCATCCACAAATATGTACACACACACACACACTCAAACAGAGGAAAGCCCAGATGATATGTTTTGACCTACCTTTACTGACTCTTTGAGAGTTGTGTTCTCTACACCCTTGGCCTGTGTGCTGTTCAGTTTGTCTCTGTCTTGTTGTTGTTGCATCAATACTCTGTTCATCTCTATGCTGTGCTTCTCAGCCAGCCTATCTGCTTTTTGGCGTTTCCTCTCCATCACCTATTGACATACATAAACAAAATATTAATCTGGTTATGTTACAATATTCATTAAAAAATTATTTAGTTGTGATTAGTTGCTTACAATTTAGGCACTTGTAATATAAAAAAACCTATGTCAAACGAAACAATTCATTTGCCCAACAATTGATCATGGTCCACTTTCAAAGATTAACTGACATTAAAAAATCATTGATAACTTCTTCTGGCCATAACCATCCTTGCCTTATCTTCCAGTGATTTCTTCTGCCTGGCTCTTTCCTGATCTAGATTTCTTTCAAAGGCCTCCACTTCCTGCTTGTGTATTGCAAGCAACCTCTCCACCTCATCTTCACTCAGTTTCTTGCCATGAAGTTGCATCTCACGTTCGTGTTTAGCTTGCATGTTCTCTACAGCCTAGAAAAGATAATTTAATAAAGATTCTTGTAATGTGCACAGCCTGTAGTCCAAATAAATAAATAAATAAATAAATAATTCTCTACTTGAATTTTGAACTCTTTGATCTACATCCATAAAGATGCCTTTCTAATAAACCTATCGATAATAACAACCATGATTAAATTAAGGAACCATTCAAATATGTTAAAATAATTGCTTAATTGTTTCAATGAACATGTACGAGCATAAGTAAATAAATATATTAATGAATGAAAATTTTCAGGCAAAACAAGTGCTGCCTACCAGTCTCTTCTGCTGATCAATCTGCAAATCCACAGCTTCCTTGGTCTTCCTCAGTTCATTATCAAGTTCCATCTCCATCTCTCTTTCTTCCATTTTCTGTTTCTCTATCAAGGAAGACTGTTGGTCAATCTGCTGGCTCTGCAGCTGTTGAGCCTCCTTAGACAGATGGTCACCATTAAGCTGGTCACTAATCTCAATGATGACCTCTGCTGTTTCCTCATCACCTCGAGCAGCCTAATTAAAAGGCAAAATATAAAAACCATTGTCTATTGTGAAAGATTGCAATTATAGAATTTATGGATAAACACATGTTTGTATAACCCCCCTCCCCCCAGTTTTGAAGATCACTATATTTTGTTATCATAAATTACTCAGAGAATTTTTAGTTCTCCTTTCACGAGGCAGTCTTGAACACAATTTCGTATACTAGGAGTGATTAAGTCACATGATAAAATGTTTTTTTTAGTAAAAACTGGGTCTGATTCTGACATAGGTGTGTAAGTATATTGTCCTACCCAGTTGAAATTGTATAATTTAAATTTTATTTTATTTCATTTGAAATTCAATTTTAGTACCTGTGCCTTAGTGATTCTGTCCAGCTCTTTAGCTACAGCTCTTTCCTTGGCCAGATCTTCCTTCATCTGTTTGCGAGCTGTCAGCTTGGCTAGCAGACTGTCACGCTGTTTTGCTCTAGAAGCTGTCATCCTGTGCCCCACATTCATACAGTCTTCTTCATACTGCTGCATGATCTTTTTACGCTCTTCTTCATTCATTTCCTGCAGGCGCTTTTTCACCTCTTCCTCTTCAGCTCGTTTGTTGGAGTCCTGACAAAAATATGGTTTCATAAAAATTAGATGTTAATCTAACAGTACTATTTTTCATTTGTTATTTTTTCGGAGCTTGTAATTATACTTAAAGCTTGAAGCAACAACTGTATAAAAATTATTATCAGTATATTTTTACCTCTTCCAATCTCCTGAGTGCCTCCATGACAGCATTCTCCTCTCGCAGACGATCTGCCTCAGTCTGAATATTCTGTGCCTCTTCCAACTTCTTTTTCTCTTCTTCACTCAGATTCTTTATTTCATCCATGTCCATGCTCTTTCTTGCATTACGCCTTCCTTTCCTGTTCTTCAGTTTATCCTTTAAGGCACTTTGCATAGACTTTGTTTGGGAGGACTTCTCCTTCATCTGTTTCACTGCACCATCTGCATCTGGAACACCACCTATATGTAGAGATTTTAATCGGGCTTCAATGTCAACATCAAGTTCACGGGCATTTTCTTCAGCTTCTGCATCAGCCTTTGCAATTTCTGCAAGGAGCCTTTCTTGTTGCTGGGCCAATAGTCTCAGGTCCTTATCGAGGTCATCGTAAGAGGGGATGGTCATGTCTGGTACAACATCTGGGCTCAGGCCTAATTCTCGCGCTTCGTTGATATGAGTTCTATGGAGATCCTTCTTTGCCTTTCGGCGCTGTTCTAGTAGTTTTTTCCTCAGAGACTCTAACTGTTGTTGTTTCTGCTTCTCCAGTGCATCATTAATCTAAAAATAGATTTAATGAGAAATTAAATGATACAAATGCCACTTGAAAATGTAATAATTAAATAAAAATGTGTATAACAGATATTCAATTGCAAATTCACATAGATTTTAAAATATTTATTACCTTCTGCAAATTGTTGGCATACTCCAACATAATCTTCTCTCTCTCTGCATCAGTGGTAGCCTTAGAGAGTTGCTTGGACAAGTTCTTCTTTGCATCCTCCATAGCATTTTGTTTTTTGGTTTCAACCTCTGCAATCACTTCATTGATATTCTTTATCTCTTCATCACGTAGGCTGTTCTCCAGCTTAGCAGCTTCATAAGCCTGCTTGTCAAAGAGTTGTTTCTGCAGTCTAGCTTTTTCTTCCTCACTCAGTTCCCCAGGTGGCTTCTTCAAGGCACCCTGGTTTACCATTGAGGAGAAATTAGTGGTGCTGCCACTGAGGCCTGTGGCTGGTGTTGTAGGGGCGCCACTCTGCACAAGATGAGCCCTTTCCACTTTTGGTGTTGGTGGATGGTCTCTCTTTGATTGACCGCCTTCAGCGCCAGCTGCAGGGGGCCTTGCTGCTGCAGCCCGGTTTATATTCAAGTTTGTGATATTACCACCAAGAAGGTTCAGCATCTCAGAGGTCAGAACAAATGGTCCACCAGACTCCAGCATTGAGATCAGTTGTTTTAGTAATGGGACTAATTCTCTGTCTGAGGAAGAGGAAGTCAGGTCCATCTCTCCATACACTCCAGGCAGTGTACAGTCATAATCGCCAGCCAGAACCGCCAGACCTGTCAGCACCACCTTGGCCTCTTGGCACAACAGTTCGTTACGCTCCCTGGTGTACTCCAAAGACGAATGCTGCTGATCTAGTTGCTCACTTCTATTCATGATTTGATCATAAAGCTCTGCTTGTAGTCGAGCCTTGGCTTGTACATGGCGCTGGCGGACAACATTCTCAGCATCTGGATTCATCGCACCCTCCAGATCTGCCATTCTTGTGTGGAATTTCTGCTCCTCTGCTTCCAACTTCTTGAGGAACTTCTGTGTGGCTTCAACAAACTTTTTGTGTGCTGAGTGATGAGCTTCTTCTCTTTCACGCTCATACTGGTCACCCTGCGTAAGAACTGCCACAACATTAGGTGGCAGCACTGTAGAAAGCTCCTCCTCGGCATCCTTGCGTCGCTGCACTTCCCTGCTGGCAGACTCGGACAGTTCATACGTAGATTCAGAGACAGATGCCAGTGTGTTTTCAACCTCTTTGGCAGTCAGAGATTCCATGTTATGCATGAGATGTTGAGCAAGATGGAATTCTTGCATTGTTAGTGTCTCTTCTCGCTGGCGTTGTCTGCGCCAGAAACCACGACGTGCAACAATCTCTTCTTCCAACATGGCAACAGCTCCTAGAGGTGGGCGGCGCTTTTTGTGTCCTCCTGAGGACAGAGTTATGGGTACAACAGTGTTGGTTTCTGGGTCAATGCGCACACCACTGATTGGACTAAGCTCCCCAGTGACTGTGTCCACGGCTTGTCTGCCAATCATTATTGGGACTGAACCTACAGAAAGCAATATTTACATCTTTCTCAAATCATCTTTCTCAAGAAATGATTAATTATAGTAAGACTTCTGCCAAAAATGAATTTTAATACATCCCTTGTTGGAAAACATAAAAAAATTATAAATAAATAAATACCAAAATTTACAGGACAAATTGACTTTTTTTGTATGATATGACATATAAATAATATATATAAATCTCATGGTGCATCCCAGTAAAAGTATTAAAACCAATTATCATGTAAAAATAGTTTTAAAATAGTTACAGCTAAGTATGTTAAATGAGATTATTTATAAGGTATGACGAATTCACCTTCTCCCTCTGGATCCTCCATGGTACCACCTAGTGGTATAATCACACCTGTCTTGTCTTTGTCTGCTGCAAGTATGGGGACCTCCACACCACTGCCAGAGGGGTCTTGCATGGATGTGCCAATCAAGATGGGGAGGAGCTGCCCTGTTGCAGTGAACTGGTACATGCCTTAATAGACAAAGTATTAATAAAAGTATCAATAAATATGATAAAATCATACAGGCAAATCTACTCTGAATTGCTTAAGACTACAGTGCATAATTTAAATTCTCAAATAATAAAAACAAGATGACATGTCATAAATTAAAGAATGTATTTCAAGTCAAATTAGTATAATTTTAGCAATGATATCAAATAACTGCAAAATTCATAACCCAGCATTTAACTCACTAAACCACTGCACACACTGGCAGAGTCTCAATGTTTTTGGTTTAGTTATTGTTACAGTACAGATAAGGCAATTAGACTGATATAAGTTGCGTGAGATAGTGCTTACCTGGTGATCCTCCAGTGGAAGCTAGTACTGTAGCTCTGTCATATCTTCTGTATATATCATGGCCAGTGCGTAACAAATGCGTCTTCATGCGTGTGCGAGCTTTGTTCATTTCTTTGAGGGAAGCCTCCAACATGGTCTCCTCATGGCGCGGGTTAAATGGAGTGCTGCCATCTGCTGCTTCGGGACCTGAAAACATTATTTCTTCATTTAAATGATATCATGATAATTTTCCGTTTAAATAAAAATGGCTATAAAACACCAGCAGCAACATACAGAAAGACACAATCAAACTATGATTATTGCATATAAACTTTAGCTTCTAGAAAAAGATAATTATATGTCCAAAGTCAATAAAATTATGTTTGCCATCTTATTTTAAACTTCATAAAAATTATACTGACTACTAGCAATGTTCCATTTTCATGACAAATTTGATAAACAAGAACACATTCCATACCTGTTACAATATCCTTCAGTTCTCGCACTGAGTCAAGGGCTCGTACTTCACATGCCAATACATTGGCATCTAGCAGAGCTTGGTAGCCACCTGCACATGCCACCGCGACCATATTTTCCTTAAGTGTGCCGCCATTGACACGACACATCTTGCCACTGAGGGGTTCTACAAAGCTGTCACCGGGAATGATGGGAATGTCCCCACCTTGGCTGCCAGGACGCGTTCCGCCAACTGGGATGATGTCACCTGGAAGGGGTAAGACTTTAAGTGTTAATTGTTATTGATAACTATGATTTTGCACATTTTTTTAAACTGATTACCTAAATATTATACTTTTTATTGCAATCATGGCTGTTACTGCAATATACTACATTAAATATCAAGAGTCACTAATTCTGTTCAACACCCATGTCATGTATACTCTGTATACATGTGAACATCATCATAATCACTGAAAAGCTTCTCTAAATGTAATATAAACATACTGCAAAATAAAATCAATATTACATTACAAATTCTGTATCAAAAAAGCGCATCGTCTTGTATGAAACAAACAAACAAAACAATTTATTACATAATAGATAAAATTAAAAAAAAAAAAAAAAAAAAATCAACTCATCTCACCTGTCTCGGGATCAATGGTAGTAGCTAATATTGGCACTGGCTGCTCCGTTTGAGGATCCAGCATCAAGGAACCAATCTCTATGGCAATAGGCAGTCCTGTAACTGGGTCAATATGGCTGCCACCTACAGGAAGGACAGTGCCAGTCTGGGGATTGATGGTCATTGCTGTGATTGGAACATGAAGGCCACTAGTTGGGTCTGGCACTGGGGCGCCATATTTCATGTCACTGCGGCACTGGAGAGGTACCAGTTTGGTAGGTACTGGTAACCCAGTGCTGGGATTGGTCGGGTAAGGCACATATGGGATCAGTGGTTCATCTGTTCTTGTGGCTTCTCCTGCAATTTCAATTATATTATTTGAGATGATTGGTATAAATTGTACTAATAATCTGAGAATAGTGATACATTAAAAACTGTTTTCCTAATATTGTTTTTGATATCACATTTAAAGATTTAGCAATAATCAAACACAGAAATAAGCATTTTTAAAATTAAATTTCTAAATACAACTGGATTATAGAAATAACATACCAGTAGCAGAGTCTGTAGTGAACACAAGGCGTGTGGAGACAGGATCAAAGGCTACATTGCCAGCAATGGGCAGCACACGGCCAGTCTGTGGGTGGACAAAGTGGTCATGGGGGATGTCTACCACCTGACCACTGGCCAGTAACATCTGGGCATCACTGTTGGGTATAATAAGGCCGGTCTCTGGATTCATGTGAATCAGTTCTGGGGCCAGGATATTTGAGTCTGAGTCTGCAAAGAAGTTATTGAATTTAGACTAATTATGCTCAGAATGAAATACTCATGATGAAGGTGACATGATTTCGAAATTAAATGTCTAATAATCATCATCATTATGACATTCATTATTTTCATGTCTCACTAACAAACTGTTAGGATACTAAATATCTAAATTTTTTCAATGACAGAAAATCAAAGTATCATCTATAAAATTACTAATTACACAAAGAAAATGTTTTCAAAGGTAAAGAAGGCCTATGACTTACAATGATATCAGATAACTTATACACTGTTGAATAATGCTCAAAGTACAGAATTGGATTATTCAATACTGAAATAAATAAGTCACTTTAAGAGTTGCTTACCTATGAGGTCTTGTCTTGATAATGGCTCCTTGGTATCCTTGGCAACCATCTGACCTCCAGTTCCCTGACCTAGGACTCCCCAGGAACCAAGACGCATGCATTCCTTGGACACTTCAGCAGACATTCGCTGCACGAGGGCGCCTACCCGAGCACCAACAGAGCGGTGCAGCTCCTCATCAAAGGCGCCATCTTTGATAACCTGGCCTCTCTGGAGCTTCTCTGAGTGTTCGTTGAGTAAACGCATGGCTTCTCTCATTGCAGTCTGGAAGCTCACCTGATGGATGAAGAAAGAGAGCAAGAAGGATGAAATTGAATAGGTTTATAGTGGACTTCAAACACCTATCTGAGGTCAACAGTTGCTTGTTAACAAAAAAATCCAAATTGGTTATGCATAAATTATGTCAAATGAAGCCAAAAGTCTTTCAGCTTTATCAACATGCTTCAACAGCTATTTGCAACAAGTTATTAGAATTAAAATAAATACGATATTGTATCTAGCCAGAGGTAATACATATACAGCTGTTTTTCTTGTCTAAACAATTCTCAGCAAATGATACACCGTTTTTATCAGCAAGATGTCTTTTCTCACCTGGTGTTCTTCACGACTCTTCTCATCCTGTTCCTGCAGGTTGATCTGCCTCTCAAGGATAGTCTGGAAGCGTGACCCTAGTTCACGACGCCTCTCCAGCTCAATTTCCAGCTCTTCAAGTTTTCTCTCGTAGGCAGCCAGGTCTTCTTTGGTGGCCAGAGCAGAGCTTCCTCCCTTCAGGTTGAGTTTGGCAGCCCACAATCCTTTGAGAGACAAGGCCTGGTTGTTCAGCTTTTGGAACAGGGATTTGGCCTGGAAAGACAAAACCATTTGTTTGTGTGATTGTCATCAGATGCTGTCAATTTCAGTGTCAGTTAATCAACTAAATTATTATTGACAATGAAATTTATCATACCATCTACTACATTTATATATTTAAGCCAGGAGTATCTAGAAAATTAATAATCCTCCCCTCCCCCAATGCAGACATGTGCAACAGATGACATCCTTAGACAATATTTTTGGGGCTCAATTGAATTAGCCTCATCTGATAATTAAAAAAATGTCACCTTGGCAGTTGTACTCCTATTATTTCATTTAGAATGTCCTTTAAGAACTGACCAATTTATACCAACATACCTCTTCCTTCTGTCTGCCCAGCTGTTTAGTCACCTCATAGGACTGTTTAGCCAGAGTGTCATACAGCTCAGGCGTGCTGAAGGCTTCAAGGTCAACCTGGTGGTCATAATCCCAGAACTCATCTTCTTTGACCTTTTCTGCACCAGCTATGAGTTGAAAGGAAAAATTAAATGGGAGTGACTTTGTGGAGGGTATGGCAAATTAGGTAGCAATGTCACATTGGGTAATGCTTGAAAATAACAATGTGAAAACAACCATAAGATTTTGTAAAAAAAACAAAGAACGGACTCTTTTTATCAAATTGCTCAAAGGTCAGTTGTAAAATACATACAAACTGGAAGAAGCCCACTTACTGTGTAACACTAATGACTGGTTATCTCCATCTGTGATCATAGGATAGGTGGCAGCAGTGTCTGGCATAGCCTCAATGTTTCTGTTGTATTTCTTGACTGGATGAACAGATGAGCCCTTGCTGGCATAGTCCTCCAGGTTATACTTTACTGCCAGGCTGCGATACTTGGGGAAGATGAATGAGGCTTTGTTCCAGCCATATTTACGGAAGAGTACCTGGTGAAAAAAAAAGCTTTTAAATCACTGTGTTTCTCTGTTGGAGGTCTTATACTGAACTGTGTGTTAATTCTGACAAAATGCAATCTCAAGATCTGTGTATGCTCTATACCTGAAAATATATCCAAAATCATTATGAAAGAGCAATTTTCGTAAAGAGGTAAATGCCGCTCAGTTATAACTTCAAAATGTTTTCTTAACACGTGTGCATGAGACTTTGTTTTCAAAAATAAACTGCTGTTTGTTGCTGAAGTGTTTTAGATGGTTAAGTGTGTTAGGTGGTATGGTGTATTTGTAGAGTGTGTTAAATGTGACAGTGTCTCCATAAAGTGTGTTGGATATGCCAATGTCTGGATAGTGTGTTAGGTGTGACAGTGACCCAGTAGAGTGTGTTAGGTGTGACAGTATCTTACCAGTGCTATGACAATGATGGTCATCAGCACTAACACAGAGGCCAGCAGAATGGCAATAAGAACCCAGTCTGGAGACTTGAGAATATCTTGTTCCAAGGCAATACCATTCTGGATCACATAGCGTGGTGTGGTGGGGAAGAAAGGACCATCTTCTGAACACTGGGCATCCTTAGCCATGACTTTCACATACTGAAAAATTAAGAACCAACAGATTTTCCTTTAATGCTAACTCAAAGGTCTTGTTCTCATTTTTTCACCTCTTAAAAAAATATTATAAATAATATAATAATAAATGAGCTAAGAACAAACAATGCACTACAAGGTATTAATATATTTGGTTGGGCATAGCCAGCACTGACAAAAATTCAGATATTAAGAAAAACAAAAAAATTTTTCCTTTTTATCTAGAACGAAAATTTATTGGAGATTCCCAGTCATGAGTGCTGATGTTATGCACATCTAAAATGAATCATGTCAGTAGGAGTTTTTTTTTACTCACCATCTTCTTGTTGATGTTTGAGCTTAGATAGAAGACATACACTCCAGGATCCGTGAACTTGTAGGAGAACAGAGTACTTAGTGACTCTGCCTGGGACATTGCCTCTGCTAGCTGGCGGAAACCTCCATAGTCAAACTTTTCATTGGTGTTGTACAGATTGTTCCTGAAATGGTGTGGAATTGATAATATTTTCAATACTAGCAATCGTGAAGCATGCATGTTAGTGTGTATGTGTACACATGTGTCTTTGAGGGTGTGTGTGTGTGTTTGTATGCGTGTGCACGTCTTAGTGTGTGAGCATGCACATGCATGAGTGCATGCATGTGCACACACACACACATATATATATATATATCTAGTTATAAAAAACTATCAATCATGAGACATGTTTTGTACCTGTCATAAACTGGATAGTTTTCATTGGTGACAGCCATCATCATGGTCTCTCCATACAGCAGGCACACTGTTGGCTGACGTATACCAGTAAATTCATAACCTGTTCCATTTGATACTGTCAGCAGACGACGCAACGTTCCACCACTACTGTAGGTGGTGTTACTGTTGTATGTGAAATCCTTAGAGTTAGAGACAAGGAGGTTTGTGACATAGTCTGGATTTGGACTGTAAATTCCATTGATTCCATCACCGCTGAATTCACACATGTGGATGGGACTCTGTGTGCCATCTAGGGCACCGCACTGATCTGCACTGATGGAGTTACGCGAGTTCACAATAGTGGTCATACTTGTTGTAGGGATCTTTACCTGAGATGACAAGAACAAATATCGTTGGATTCATTCATAGAAATCATACCAACTTAATGTATATCAAAACAATATTTCGTCAAAAAGTAAAATAATTTATGCTAATATTAACCCAGCTAAAATAGCCAGAAGATATTGAGAGGGTGGCTCACCTACACGTACCTATGAAATCCATGCAAAACTAAACTTGCATCTCTTTCGCTGTAGCCAAATTTCAGATTTATGATAACTTGTCAAAATACCTAATAATTGTATTCCTTAATTTCTTTGGCTCAAATGAATCATACTTAACACTTGACGAAAAATATACCTAGAATAAGTTTATTTCTTACCTTGACTGACCCATCTGCAGGGTCGGTGACTGCAATGTAAGGTTTTTCAGGCAGAGCAGGGCACACCATGGACAATGTAAACCTTTGTTTATATCTACACTCAGGATCACAAATTGCCTCAAGATCATCAACTTTACAGGAACACAGGCCAAGATAGGGATCCACGCTGACAAAGTCATCCTCTCCACACTGAAATCAAAATATATGGAACAATTGACTCATTTTTTCATAAGTAAAGATTTATCAAGGTATCTTTTACACATTATTATACAAAGAGCATGGATTACAATTTTATAAACATCAATCTGTGGTCTGATAAGACACATATTATCAGATGGCATCATGAACCACCAAACATAACATTGTCCAATGAGACCGGTCATTGCGAGAGAAAAGGGAACATATTAATAATTTGACAACAACATCGTTGCATGATAGCAATGTTGCAACTTATGATGTTATCTTGGAGGGCATGTTGAATCATACAATAAAACAATTACAAAACTATATCCTGTCTAAATGTCACCCAAACCTTATCACAATTGAACCTGTTGGCTGGTACGACTGCTAAAAATTAATCCCTACTCACTCTACATGAAGATCTGATACCTGTTGGCTAGTATGACTGCTAAAAATTAATCCCCACTCCCCCTACATGATGATCTGATAGTAATTAGCTGGAGAGCATAGATTCTATATTGTTTGTGAATATATTCTTCAATATCAAAATAATTTTAAAAATTTGGCACTCTTACCACTTCTTTACAGTATTCAGTCCAGTCACTCTCAGTGAGACAGCGCCCGTCTGGTGATCTGGTGGAGACCTCTGTGCACAGTACATACACCTTCTTAACACAGTCTTGAGATCTTCCCTCCAGGGTCACATAACCTTGACCACATGGACACTGACGGTCACTCGACTTAAAAGATATGAAGAAATCACAGGGGTCAATGTTTAATCAGTTGCTGGGGTTCAACATTCTTAATGCCATGATAAAGTTATTATCATAAAACAATTACATTAAAACATGTTACAATTACATTAAAACATGAGAAATTATGGTGCTTTTACACTTGATTTTAGCCATCTTCAAATTCCATTGTAAATTTAAATTACATACATAATGATATACAAAACAACAATAATGTACCAAGTAGCATGCAAAAAAAGTTTTTTTAAACACTCAGTGTCTACAATGACACTTCAAAAAAATCTATATCCAAAAAATAAATAAAAATTCATTTTGCATGTATGATAATATCTACACTAATGTAATACATATTCAATATGCAATCTACTCCACACAGGTTTGTATATGTATATACCATGATAAGATCTGAACCTTCATTAAATTGCAAATACCATTAAAATATGCACAGTGGAATTTATTATTAAACCTGGTATAGTGCTGTCCAACATTTGCATGTTTTAATAACTGAAAACCTAAATCCAATACCTGGAAGTCCCTTCCTTGTCCAGTGCAGAGACAAGTGTCTTGACCAACAGTTGGTTGCCTGGCCTCTCCACCACACGAGAAACAGCCACTCTGACCAGTCAGGTGATTGAAGTGGTCAACTGGACAAGGCAGGCAGTTGGTCAGGTTGCCCATGTACTCCAAGGCGTTATAGGTTCCATTGGGGCAAGCTGTGGGTGCACTGCTGGCTTCTGGGCAGTAATAACCTGGAAGCATACATTTATAATATAAAGAGAGTGTTGTGTCATTCTCAGCTACTACTCCACCAATTACTACTGGTAACATGAGTGAGAATTGTTCACAGGTCTACCAGCAGCCCAGGACCTGTGGGTATCAGTCTCTTGCGACAAGAACCAAGTGTTGCTGTTTCATAGAAATTTTGTTCCAAAGTAAGTGATTAGCATCAGGAAAATGTTACTAAATGGGCACCGATGTTAGATGGCTTTTTCCTATGGTAAAGACTACCATGTGAGAAATGAGATGACACCTGATGTGTCACCATAATGTCTAGTTAATATTTCAAAGTATATTAAATTTGATTTATGGTTATTAATGGTCAGAATTAACCAAAACACTGAAAATAATTTTGCACTGGCAAAAACGTCAGTGCTTCAGTAGTCTTACAGTGCCATATATGGCTTTATAAACAAACAGATAATGATAACCTTGACTATGCAACCCCTACTATGCAACCTCTACTATGCAAATTAATATAAAAACTGTAAAAAGAAGGGCTTACCTATAGGACAAGGATATGAATTAGTGGTATTGTATCCAAAGGCAGCACTGTCATTTGAAAGAGGGACATCAGTGGTTGCAAGCGCGTGACAAACAACCCCTGGTTGACACGCTGTGCAGTTTTGTCGTTGTGGTTCAGCACCATAGTATCCAGGAGGACAGGGGTCACATGTATCATCAAATGTCTGGCGCGGGCTCTGGCCATTATTCTTTTCTTTGTAGCCAAGTGGACACAGAACAGGTTCTATGGCACCTGAAATATAAGGATGGTCATGTATGAGGTTATTTCTGTATTGGGTAAGATATGGATCAAATTTGTTTTTGGCATTGTATAAATATGAGAAATTCATGATACCTTAAAGTAATCAATAAACTCATTATATTATCATGAACTTCAATCAAGATTTTAAATTTAAAGGATTTTTATATAAAAGTAGTCTGGCAAAACATGAAGTGATATGCTATCAGTTGCCAATTTAACAAAAAAAACTATTAAAAAAAAATTATCCAATTCACACCACTAAAACACCATGTATCTTACCTGCATCAGTATCATTACACTCATTACGTCCCTGACAGTAATGCCCAGGGGGACAAGGCTGCATGGAGGCTGACCCCTCGGGGCAGTAGTAACCCGGTGGACATGGTTTCTGGGTCATGGACCTGTTGCAGTAGTAGCCGGGCTGGCAGATGGTCTGGTTCTGAGATCCGTTTGGACAGAAGTAGCCCTCGTCACACTGGACGCCGGCTATTGTGCTGTTTGTGTCCGGGCAGTAATATCCAGCTGGACAAGTGAAGCAGTCGTCGATATGCCCGCCAGTATTGATGTCCCTGAAGTTCATTAAAAAAAATCATAATGAATATCTGAAAAATGTCAACTTAATAAATACAAGGAGTTATAACAGAAGGAGATTACACGCAAGCCTCTCTATTGTCCGATGTCTGTTACGGTGGGCGGAG